TCTCCCCCTGTCCTCCATGCTGACAGTGACAGGTGTGTATCTGTCTGTTCCAGAATAAACCAATGCATATCCATCTAGAAGGTGGCAGGAGTACAGAGGAGTGGGGAAGGGACAGGCTATGTCAGGAAGGCTTCCTGGAGTAGGTGGCATTGATACCAGCCAAGCCAAGCTGTGACCTCTCTTCCCTGACTCCACTCTGACCCCAGCACCTAACACAGTACGCACTGAGTATGTTCTAGGTTCTCAAAGTAAGGTCCCCAGATCAGCAGCATCAGCAACACCCGGGACCTTATTAGAATTGCAAATTCTCACACCTCACCCCAGAACTCACTGAACTTGGAACTCTGGGGGGTGAAACCCCCAAATCTGTTTAATGCTTCCTCCAGGTGATTCTGACGAATGCTCTGGGCAAGCCAACTAATCCATTTTGTCACACCCAGGAACCAGTGAATAAAGAATGGAAGACCCAAGTGGCTCATGGTTAGAACTATTGCTGGAATTGAGATTTAGGATTTCCTACCGAAACATTGCTTCCCACGCCATCTATGCATCTCACTGCCAGGCATAAGTGGGAATGAGCTTCGTAAATGGGTCCTCTGTGCCCTCTAAGTACCTCTTTATGAAGTAGTACTGTTTTAATATTAAATTAAATTTTATGTAATACAGTGAGCCTTCCCTGAACACTAACCATTCTCTCATGTGACCCTTTAGGGCTTATAAAATCTGTTCATTCAGCTTTTTCCCCTTCTTATCATAGAGATCCAGCCTGGCAAGGGTGGTGACTATCCCCATTTTACAGATGGGGAAACTAAGACTCACGAGATTGCAATATCTTGTCTGAGGTCCCACAGATGGTGGGTTTGCATGTGAACATAGGATTGTCTGACACCTTCTACTGCCCCATTGAGTCCAGATGTGCAAGAAAGACACTGTCCTGAGTTTTCTAGGGTAGAGAAACCCACCAAGGAGCTAGTGGGGAAGATAAGACAAGTACCCTAAATAACGCAGCTCAGCACTGAGTCATGGATCGTTCTTCTGTCTTTGCTGGGAGGCAGACCCGTCACTGGCTGAACCCAGGACACTGCCTGAAAAGTAGCTTCAACAGAGACAAGCCTTCCGTCAGCGCGTTGCAAATGCAATGACGGTTCGCTAAGTGGTTACACGTTCTTTGTGCCTGGCTCCTCATGGAAGCACTCTGACCACCTGCTCCTCAGAGGTGATTGCCAATCCCATGAAGGACATAGTTTTTAATTTACTCACTGGATTAAAGGAAATGCTGATCCATCATCTAAGTATGGCCTGACTGGCTCTGCTCAGAGGTCTTTCTCCTCGCTAGGCCTCAGTTTCCTTAGCTGGACAAGAGGGAGTGAGAAGCCGTGCTACGAGGGCCCTCCCTGAGTTGAGTGGTGGCAGAGCATGACCAAACTGTGGGATGGCTCTAGTCACCCCCATGCAGGCTCAAACCTCCAGAACTTGGGCTCCAACAGAATCTTCAGTGGGAACCATTCCAAGTGGGAACACACATCCCAGGATGTATCCTGCCAGCCGTAAACAAATGGGGAAACTGGTGCAAGGCTGATGAAAGGCACGGGACATGTCCTGGGGGCTCTGGGAGGGTGAGGGCTCTGACTATATTTTATGCAGGATCTTAGAAAGCAGCAGGGAGCCCAGAGGTCGACTGGCTTAGGGGTTGGGCTCTGGAGTTGGAATTTGCAGGTTCAAATCCCAGCTCCGAGGCTGACTAGCTATGGCCCCTGGACAAGTCATTTCTTCTCTCTGCACCTCAGTTTCCTCAATTTCCTTAAAAGGAGGAAACTAATGTCCTAGATCAGTGGTCGGCAAACCACAGCTCACAAGCCACCTGCAGCTCTTTGGCTCCTTGAGTGTTCTAATGCCACTTCTTCAAAATAGACTCGCCCAGGCAGAAAACCTACTTCTGCTCATGGGCCATGACGTTTCAGTCGCACTGTATGTGCGCACCTGCATGTGGTATTTTGTGGAAGAGCCATACTCAAGGTGTGAGGGTTAAATGGGGTAATGCCCACAGATAGTGCTTAGTAAATGCCAGCACTTTCCCAGCCAGGAGTGAAATCCTTATTACTCACCTGGACCCTAAATCCATGTCTCTTCCTTGGTGGGCCCCCGCTTTGCCTTTTGGGGGACCTGACACACCACACCCTGTGGGAACCAGAGAACACTACCAGGTGTCCTCATCCAAGATAACCATGCAGAATCAGGGAATACGAGGCATGCAAAGAGGTGGTAATGATTCTGCCCAGGCAACTTTATCCCTCACAGACGTTCCCCAGCTAAGGATCCCGTACCCCAGGTTACCACGACCCATCACAGACTCCTGAGAGCCCAGAAAAGCTGTGAGGAGCATCTTGAATAGGTTTGTAATAAGGAAAGCAGGGCCTACCCGCTCCCTGATTACACTAATGACTTGCACACGGGATCTCTCTCTCTCTCTCTCTCTCTCTCTCTCTCTCTCTCTCTCTCTCTCTCTCTCACACACACACACACACACACACACACACTGCTCACCCAGGTGGGAACATTATCCTTCACTCCTGAGCAGCCACACTTTGGGTTTACAAATGGGACCACGGCAGCACTTTAGAAATCGAGCCAGTGGAGCTGCTACAACCCATCCTCATTACCTGACAGATGGCCCATCCACTCTCACTCTGTCTGCACTCTGGGCTGAGAACAGGAGCTGCTCCTCACTTACCAACGCCGCACCACACAAGCTCTGTGCACGGACACCGGAAGGGACCCAGCCATGACTGAAGGCCCCGCTCACAGTCCCTCCGCCCGAGTGAACAGCTTTCTCCTGTGCCCCAGGAGTCAGACCTGAGCCAAAAGCTTCTTGGGAAAAGCACTGCCGGACATGCTCCAGAGCAGTTCACACAGAGATAAGCGACTCCAAGAGACACAGACAGGGGCGTGATCCGAGTCTGTCTCCCCATCGCCCCATAGCACTTGTGATACAACTCAGTGACATAAACCAAGTCCGGATAGAGGTTTGCAGACGTTCTAAGACCAGGGCTGGGTGGAAGTGGGCCCGTGCTAGCCTGAGAGCCGTCAGAAGAAATGATGTCTGAGAGGGCAAGTGTTTTTCACTTGGACATGCACAGGAATCACCTAGCTGTCTTATTAAAACAGGTTCTGACTCTACGGGTCTGGGATGGGACCCAAGACCCCACATTTCTCACCAGCCGCTGGTCCAGGGGCCACATTTGGAGCAGCGAGGCGCCAGACTAGACTAGAGCATCAAAAGCAGCACAGTTCCGAGTGACCTGCATGCGCTCAGTCCAGGAGAGGGGAGGGGTGGGACCCCATACCTGTCTGCAGGGCTACCTCATGCCACTGGCCCTTGGATTCTGGAAGAGTTGTCACATGAAACTGGTGTTTGCAAAGAGGAAGTTCTTTGCAAACAAAAGGCAGCACTGGCTCCTTCTAGCTCCTCTCACATCCAGGAGGAACCTTGCCCCTCATCAGCTATGCGAGGGCACAGGGACGGTCCTCAGATTCCCTTGTGCCAGGGGGAAGAAAGGAGACCTGAGATGACCGAGGACCTTCAGCCACACGAATACCTCACCCCTGGCGCTCAGCCAAGTGCTCAGAGCCTGGCGGGCGGGACCAGCACCTACAGAACAAACTCTCCACAGTGAGAGGAATGTCCCCCGGGGATGAGCGCAGGAAGCTTGCCAGGCCGGAGAGGCAGAAAGGAAGCCCATGGGATGCATGGCTGCACCAGGGCAGGCTCACAGAGGGGGCGACGTTTGAGCTGGGCCCCAAAGGAGGCCCGGGGCTTTTCCAGGTTAAGATGCAGGAGGGAAAGGCATGTCCAGGCAGAAGAAACAGGATGTGCACAGTGGCACGTCCAGGGAACTGTGAGCAGAATGGGCATTGGGATGGGGGCCTCACTGTTGGGGCCCAAAAAGGGAGGAAGGGTCTAGTTGTTCATGAAAAAAGGAAAGTCTGAGAAATGTAGATTTAAAAGAAATTAAAAATAAAAATGCTTCCTTTATGACCTTCAATGTGGTAAGAATTAGTCATTCAATTCAATATCTCTTTTTTACATGCCTAAATTTTTAAATGCATAAGATTTTTTGTGTGTGTGTGTGTGTGTATGTCTGGCTTTTCATCTCTTAAAATTGGACCGGAGCATTTCACTCGGTTGTCATAAACTCTTTATAAAGAACACGTTTAGTGGCTGCACAATATTCCACTTAACCAGCCCCTAGCTGCTGGGCATTCAGGTTGTTCCCCATTTTTCAGGTCCCTGAGCAATGCCTTTTCTGAATTTTAGATCGTAACCTCGGCACGAATCTCAAGGACTGGAACCAGAATTGAAGGGAATGAACAAGCTCAAGACCTTGAGGCACTTGGCAGACTGTTTTCCAAAAAGCTGGAATCCAGCCTCATAGTGGGGCAGAAGGGGGGCACCTGAGTCATTCCAGGGGCTCTTGGCCCGGGGTGAGCCAGCCCTGAGGTCAGGATGTGCCCAAGGCCCTGCTCTGTGAACAGGTCCATGGTAAACCGGGACAGCCCTGGCCACATACAGGCCTAGCAAGCTGCACAACTAGGTGTGGCATTGGGTTCCCTCAGGCCCAACAGGAGAACAAGGCAGATTGGTTTTGTTTTAGTTTCTAAGAAAGTTCCTTCTGAAGCCTGAGATCTTAGCTTCAGTGCATTAGAGCATTACCGACAGGACAGACAGAGCCAGACAATGAGATCCGCTGGGGCTTCTATGAAGACCTGGGGAGACAGGAACCGAGACCCAGGATTTCCTCTTGGCCTGGCCTCTCTCCCCTCCAGGACTCTCGTTTTTGAGAGGATCGGCTGAACCAGGAGCAAGGACAGCCTGACTGGATTACCCAATGCAGCCCTGGGCTTATCTGAGCAGGCAGCGACCGTGCACGGACTACCTTTACCAAAGGCGGGTGTCCAGCGTGGGCCAGTGCCGCCTCTGAGCAGGGCCGCTGGCTCCTTACCTGCCAGGGCTGGGATGGTGACCCGGTTCCACTCCCACGGCTGGTCGTACTCATCGGCGGGCCTGTCGTCATCCTGGGGCAGCTTGCTCTCCCGCAGTCGGGGGCTGACTGTGCTCTCCGAGTCCGAGTCGAAGCTTTGGCCCTCAGGTTCGTAAGGGGTGTCGTACAACTGGATGCCTTTGTGCTGGGACCGGACACTTTCCTGCCTCTGAAATTCTGCAGGGGGGAAAAAACAAAGGAAGCAGGTGTCATGGAATTGAAACCCACACTTCCTCACCTAGGATCTGCCAGGTGACACCCACATGGGTTCAGAGCCAACAGCCAAGGACCAAGGAGGTGATGACCACTCAGGAACAGCCCCCTGTTCTGTGTTCAATTGCTCCTCCCACCCCTTGAAGGCAGCATCTCTGCTCTCCCTGGGCAAGGTTTCCTCACAAAGACCTCAGGCTCTCAGGCCTGATGAGAGAGGGTAGAAGGCTCACTGCCCACATCCGCAGGCTCACTGCAGTCGCAAGGGCACGGTCCCGATCTGCACACGATGTCCCAGGCGTGTTCTCACACCAGCCCAGAGCACACAGAGCTCTCACCCTTGCTTCACAGACCAGTTGAGCCTCCTCCAATAGGACGGCTCTCCATTCTGGGCTGAACAATGAACGGCCCTCAAGTTTCCACTTAGTTGCATCTTCATTTTAAAAGGCCCAACAAGCCTCCCCAGGAAGCCTGGGGCCACGGTTTTCTCCCCTGTGAAGTGGCTCCTTCCCAGCATTCCCACATCCCCCAGAGCCTGCCAGTCTCCTAACACACGGAGCACCCCCGAGGGATGAGAGAGCAGGTGTCATTCCACTTCTGAATGAGGAAGGAAAGCTCTTAGTCTCCTGGAGAGGGTGCCAGCACCGGCTCCCATGTGGGCGCAGGGGCTACATCATTCCCGGGAGGCCAGTGGGGGCAAAAGAGGGATGCAAGGATGCTACAGTCGGGTGCTTCTGAGCCAAACAGAAATACTCTCCCTGCTCTGATCCACACCCACTGTGTGCAGGGCCCTCATGGGACACAGGGAAGGGAGGGTTTGCTGCAGAGGCTGCGTTTCCATAGGAGATACAACAACCCAAATCACTATGACACTGTACAGCGAAGGGGCCTGTGAGGGTTGAGGCAGGAGCAGAAGACATTGGAACTGACAGTTCTGACAGGTGGGAAGTGGGAGAGGGCAGGATTCCCGGGGGTAGGACCAGGGCCAAGTCGGTGGGGCTGGGAGAATGCTCCCTGCCTGCTTTCCTGGTGGAACATATCACATGTGCCATTTTGACCATTCTGAGTGAACAGTTCCGTGGTATTAAGTATATTCAACCATCACCACCACGTCCATCTCCAGGACTTATCCGTCTTCTCAAACGAAAGCTCCGGACCATTAAACAATGGCTCCCCATTCCTCCCTCTCCCAGCCCTTGGTAAGCACCATGTTATTTCTCTCTGTACATTTGATACTTGAGGTACCTCATCTAAGGCGAATCTTGGGATATTTGTCCTGTGCCTGGCTTATTTCACTTAGCATAATGTTTTAAGGTTCTTCCGTGTTGTAGTATGTGTCAGAATTTCATTTTTTTTTTTTTAAAAGGCCGAATAATATCCCATTGTATATCTAGTCACTGTCCACTTTTGTTGCAGTACTGGGTCCAAGGAGATGAGAGGGTGGAGGTGAGGTTTGACACAAAAGGGGTGAGGGTCGTGAGAGTGAGTTGTTTACACATTCTCCAAATAAGAGTTCCAATGGCAGAGAGATACATAGAATCATATGTGCCTTAAAGAGCAACCGACAAAACACATGAGCAACCTTCCAAACAAGAGCACTGCCTTTAGGCCAGCTCTTGGGGTGACAGATGTCCTAGCCCGAGTACAGGCCCTGACACAACAGAAGCCAACTGGGGCTGTGCTGGGGCCGGCAGTGTGGATGTTCAATAACATTAGGAAAATGCTTCCCAAACTTCATTTAGTCATGTTTGCCATTTTTTGAATGCCAACAAGGCTATTATTTACCACATTTATTCATTCACTTCTTAGAGAAAATAATATTTAAAAAGTAAGACATCATCTAAACTGTTGATAAACATAAAAGGAATGAGGGAGGAGTAACTCGGCCAGGTAAGTACCACTGCCCACCAAGAGGCCGGCCCAAGGCGTGCTTCCCCTTGGCTGAACAGGAGATGAGCAGATACTGGACAGCTGTCAGGGACGCAAGCACCAGAAAGAGAGTTTCCTTGTCACTTTCTCCTTTTAGAGAGAATGAAAAGGGAAAAAAACCTTACAACATGGTTCTCAGGCCACTTAAAATCCTGTCTCCTCTGAGAGCATGTCCCATCCTTTGGCAAAGCACACTTTATTGTGAGTAAATGTGTTAGTTTTGGGGATGATGTTTCCGATTCCATGGAAACGGGGGAGAGAGAAGAGGAAGTGAGAAGAGCTATAGAAGGTAGAACTTGGCCTGACCTGTGTGGCTCAGTGAGCTGGAGTATCATCCTGTACACTAAAAAGGTGGGTTCAAGATTCCAGTCAAGGCACTTACTCTGGGTGCAGATTTAATTCCTGGTCGGGCCAGTGCAGGAGGCAACTGATCGATGCTTCTCTCTCACACATCGATGTTTTTCTCTCTGTCTCTCATTTCCCCCCTTCCTCTCTCTAAAATCATTTTTTTTTTTAAAGGTAGAATTTGGTCGACTGAAGGTGAAGACCAACTATAAAGCACTGTAGACAAGGGATCTGACCTGCTTTGTAAGGTCACTGTCATCTGTGTCCCTCTCGCCCTGGTTCCCAAGGAGTGCAGCCTTGCCTCCTGTTGTTGGAGAATTCCGAGTGCTGAAGACAGGGGAACACAGATAGGCACTGACCCAGGAAAACTCCTTTCTTCTCCATCCTTTTTCAGAAGCAGGACAGCAGCCATGACTGGGTAAACGGCAGTTTACAAAGCACTTTGCATGCGAATCACCATGTAGTCTTAAGCACCACAAAGCAATTCGCACATGCATTTCTGTGGGCCCCTTACCCTCTCTCAGAGCCTGGCTGCAAACATATTCAATGGATCTGGGTGGGGTTAATGAGTGACAACTGACAGCCAGATTTGCCCCCAATTCCAATTAATTCCTGAAAGTCCCCAACAGCCATGCTGCAGTTCAGTATTAGGCCGTATTCAGAAGAGACGGATATCCCTACATAAATACCAACCTAAAAGGAAAACACGTGCCAGGGAACAGATTAGCTATTAAATCAGAGGGCCTCGCGAGTGCACCTCTCACCCAGGATTTATTGTTCCCAAAGCATCTGCGCCTCACAAAGCTGCGTTAGTAATGGCATGCAGTTAGGGCAGCCGATGTTATAATGGCAATCATTAAAACAAGCTTCCTCCGTTTTACATGGCGAATTCAAATTTTCATTAAGGCTCCGACAATAGGGAACGGTTAAGTAAATTATGGCATGCTAACTGGATGGAATATTAAGCAGCCATTAAGATGATAAATCTGAAGATTATGTAGCTACATGGAAAAGCATGCATGAAATTATGCTAAGTTAAAAAGTAAAACACAAAATTGTTTATGTGTTGAGAGAGCAAGCCGCATAATATGGATTTTCTAAACAAATCCTGGACAATGTGAACATGCCCGACGGAAATCCTTCTCCTGGCTTAGGGACTGCTGAATGCCGGCATCCCATAATATCTAAACTCCGATGGCAGCGGTAATCACACATGAATAAGGGGCCGAAACTCTGAGGCAGGAAGGTAAACAGCCACTGTGTAGAGAGGAAGGAATTACTGCATTGTTATTTTTGAACATGAACATATTTTTTATATATTTTAAAAAATGAATAAAAATGCTAGTAAATAAAGAAATGTAATTAAGACGGGAACACAAAAGTAAATATAATTGTAAGCAGGCCGGGCTTACAGGTGCTGTGCGTGTTTCGGAAGCAGCTGCCTTTTCCCCGAGAAAAGGCCCATTGAGGGAGCATCTTCTCTCCCAGGAGAGGTTAGCCAAGAACCCCCGGAAGTCAAGGGCCAGCTCACCAGACGCCACGTCTCCTGCCTAATGACCAGGTCCATCCTCCTTGTTACCTGTGCCGACCCAGAGGCTGATCTAATAGGGGAGCTGGTGACCATATGCTTTAAGTCACTGTGTTATCTGGACATCACCACCTATCTGTACATTAATGGAAAATGCCCTTTAATAGTGGGTGGCAGGCTGTGATTTCATACCTCTGAGGCAGGGAGCAGAAACATTAAACTGACAGGGTGGGGATTTCTCTCGACCTCTGGAGTAGAGAGGTTTCCAAGTGGAACTGCGTGTGGAGAAAGAACAGCAGAAGAACTGAAAGAGACCCTGGGCGCATTCACCACGGGCACAGGGTAGGAGGTGAGGTAGATGCACTGACCGACTGGCCACGGAGAGGCAAGGGCCAGGGGACTATCTGAGCGAGGGGCCCAGGACAGAGCTTGGTGCAAACCAGGAGCCTCCTGAGTGGATCTGACAAAGGTTTAGAGTTCCCCAAGCCCACAGGCAATAAGCTGTATTACGCTACATTTCACACCGGCATTCATCAACTCGGTGCCTCCCACCCCTGTTTTGAATTTTCCTTTGGCTGCCAGGAAGCTCCTAGCTTATTTAGAGGGTTAACTTTAATAGCTATGTTAGCTTACATATTATGTAGGTCCTCTGGCCCTTCCTTCTACATGGACTTTGATTATTATAATAGCCTCAGTATACACATTTCTTTTTATTATAGTCAGCCTCAAGTCTACATTTTGAAAGTAGATGAACCCACAAGTAAATGAAAATATACACTAACACACTTTTATGGTAAATACATTTACTAGTAAGAAAACTGGAAGAAAAGAAACCTTTTCTTTACCTCTTTACCTTTCCTTCAGGAACAGGAAAAGGAGGGCGGGGCTTGGCTTCAGTCTCAGGGAGCACCAGCCAGAGCTGGACGGAGATGAATGAGGCACAGTCCTGGCCATCAGGGAGCCCCTGACACAGACTCCGCATCAGGGAGCAGACAGGGCACTACAGCTCAGCTGGGGAAACTGGGGAGGGCCTTAAGATTTAGACAAGAGGTTGTGGCACAGAAAACAGAATTTGATGGAGGCACAAGGGATGAGAGCACAGGTGTACCTGGGGAAGGAGGGTCATCAGGGGCCAGTGAAAGGGGAAGCCGGAGGCAGGTGGAAG